AATAATTTCTGCAAGATATGCCCCAATCTTTGTAGGTCTGATAAAATTCTGGTACAAAACCATCTGGTCTGAGACTTTTTGTTGGAAGGCTTTTTATTACTGCTTCCATTTCATTTCTTGATATTGATCTGTTCAGGAATTATATTTCTTCCTGGTTGAGCCTATGGAGGCTGTGTGTGTTTAAGAATTTGTTCATTGCCTTCACATTTTCAATTTTGTGTGCACAGAGATTTCTATAGTATTCAGTGATGATATTTTGTATTTCACTGAAATCAGTTGTGATTTCTCTTTTTTCATTCCTGGGTGACCTTATAGAGTCCTTTCTTTTCTGCTTTTGGTTAACCTAGTGAGAGGCTTGTAAATTTTGTTGATATTATCAAAGAGCCAACTTTTTGTTTCATTAATATTTGATACAGTTCTTTTGTTATTGATTTCATGTAGTTCTGCATAAATCTTTGGTATTTCTTTTCTTCTGCTGGGTTTTGAATTGGTTTGTTCATTCTTTTCCAGTTCTTTGAGACAATTCATTGGGTTGTCGATTTGTAGTCTTTCTGTCATTTGGATGTATGCATTTATGGATATGACCTTTATTCTCAGGACTGCTGTACCTGTATCCCATAGATTTTGATAACTTACATCATCTTTATCATTTAGCTCAAAGTATCTTTTGATTTCCATCTGAATTTCCTCCTTGATTTGACTATCATTGAGCAGTATAGGCTGTTTAGTTTTCATGACTCTGTGTAGAGATGTGTGTTTCTGTTGGAGTTGATTTCTAATTTTATTCCACTGTGTCCTGAGAAGATGCTTGGTGTAATTTCTGTTTTTTTAAAATTTGTTGAGACATGTTTTGGCCCCATTCAACCAGAATATCTGCATGTGGAAGCAGGGCTGTCTGAGACCTCGGCAGCCTAGAGCAGGCCATGCTCCTTTCCACCCTTGCTCATTCCTCAATTTTCCATGGGTGTCTGTTGGCAGACAGGCTCTCCATCCAGTCGAGCTCTCCTACTTCTGTGATGTAGACTGGCAGGTTCCCTGCTTGGGAATCTGGCCTCATCTGGGAGCGTGGCCTTCCTATGGGAGGACGGATGCCCCATGTGCACACTGCATCTGGGACCCACACTGCACTCCCCCCTGATATGCTCCTGCAGGGACCTGCACCTCTGAAGACTAATTTGCAAATATCCCCTCTGTGTCTCCAGGCAAGGCGATCAAGACCTGGGGGCATGGGATTTGCTTGTAGGCTCATCCAAGGGTCGTAGAGATAAATCTCTGACAATTCCAGAGAGATTCGTGCTGGTCACCAGACAAACACAGGTTGCCCAGGCTGGTTCAATTGTCCTTCTGTCTCAGGGTATGTCCTACTCTGGTGGGGCTACTGGGCAAACAGCACCAGAGGGGCCAGCGGTCTGGGAGCTCACAGTTTTGAGTACCTCTCCATTTGCTGCAAGATCCCAAAACATTGTGACTACCCAGAACTAACATTGCCTGTACTGATAGAATCCATACAGTCTTGTTTGATGGATGGACCAATGTCTAGAAATGGTCGAAAGTACAAGGATTTCTGGAAGGTAAAGAATTTGAAAAGAATAGTGGAAAGAAAAAAATGTAAAGCATAGAATGGGCAGGTAAACAGTAGAAACCCTCTTGATTGGAAATGAGAATGGAAAGGGATTAGATGGGCATTAACAACAGTGGCTAAATAAACATAAGAATGATTAATTATCATAACAGTTAATGGAGGTAAGACATTAATGGAAATAGGCTTTTACAGATCAGACAGTTAGGCTTAGAGAGGTTCACTTTGGAGAAGGTAACTGTACTAGGCAGAATCCTAAGATGACCTCTAAATTTCTTCTGATGCATATACATTGTGGATGGTTCCCCGATTTGGGTTGAAGCAGAACCAGGGAATATATGATGGAATATCATTCCTGTGATTAGGTTATATAGTGAATTCTAAGGAATTCTGAGGATATAATTAAGGCCCATAATTAGTCAACTTTGATATGATAAAGTGTGGGGCTAAACTAATCATGTGAGCCCATAAAAGATGGGAGATGTCAGAATGATGATTCTTCTTGTTTGGAAGAAGGAAGCTATTGTGTTGTGGGACAGTTATAAGACCAGGACCTGAGGGTACTTCTTAAGAGACGAGCAATCCCTGGCAGATAGCTAGCAAGAAAATGGGGGCCTCAGTCCTGCACTTGCAAAAAACTGAATCCTACCAAGAGCCAGTGAACTCTGAAGGAGACTCCAACTCCAGATCACACTACAGCCCCTACCAAGACCTTGACTTCAGCATAGTGAGACCCTGAGCAGAGAACCCACCATGCCTTACTGAACTTCTGACCTGCAGAAACTGGGACTTAATATATGGGTGTAGTTTTAAACTTCTAAGTCTTGGCAATATTTTACAGAGTTTTTTTAAAAAAAATAGCAATGAAGGAAAAAACAGATAAATACATAGTTGTTAATTTTGGTCTATTTAGTTTAGGCTACCTGAAGATATGATAAAGTATCTTCTCCTTTCATACAACACACAGATGAGATCAAACTCTCACTCTTTGCAGATGATACGATATTATACCTATAAAACCCCATGAATTCGTCCAAGAGACTCCTAGATGAATGAATTCGGTAAAGTCTCAGGTTACAAAATCAATATACACAAATCAGAGGCATTCATATATACCAAGAACCATCAAGCAGAAACTCAAATAAAAAATGCAATACCTTTTACTATAGCCTCAAAGAAAAATATCTAGGAGTATATTTAATGAAAGATATGAAAGACTTATACAAGGAGAACTATGAAATGCTAAAAAAGGAAATTGTAGAAGATGTAAACAGATGCAAAAATCTACCTTGTTCATGGATTGGTAGAATCAATATTGTAAAATGTCAATATTACCCAAAGTCATCTACAGAATTAGTGCAATCCCCATCAAAATACCACCATCATTCTTTACACATCTAGAAAAAATAATTCTTTGCTTTGTATGGAAACAAAAAAAAAAAATACATATAGCCAAAGCAATCTTAAGTAAAAAGAACAAACTGGGAGGCATCAGTCATTCTGACTTCAAGCTATACTATAAAGCAATAATAGTTAAATAAGCCTGGTACTGGCACAAGAACAGAAGCATTGATGTTAGGACTCAGATTCCAGAAATGAAACCATCTACATACGGTAACCTAATCTTTGATAAAACACACAAAAATATACATTGGGGAAAAGAATCTCTTCAATAAACAGTGCTGGGAAAACTGGATAACTACATGCAGAAGAATGAATCAGGATCCCTACCTCTCACCTCTCACAAAAATCCACTCAAGATGGATAACAGACTTAAAAAACCCAAGGCATGAAACCTTAAGAATCCTAGAAGAAGATGTTGGGAAAACCCTTTCAAACATTGGCCTAGGTGAAGAATTCTTGAAGAAGACCCCCAAAGCAATCACCACAGCATCAAAAATAAACAAATGGGATCTGATCAAATTAAAAAGCTTCTGTACAGCCAAGGCAACTATCATTAGAGCGAATAGACAACCTTCAGAATGGGAGAAAGTATTTGCTCTCTACGCTTCCGAAAAGGTCTGATAACAAGAATCTATCTAGAATTCAAATGAATTAAGAAGAAAAAATCAACCCCATCAAGAAATGGGCAACGGAAATGAATAGAAACGTTTATAAACAAGACAGAATAATGGCCTCCAAACATAAAAAAATGCTCAACATCTCTAATCATTAGAGAAATGCAAATCAAAACCACAATGAGATACCACCTAACCCCAGTGAGAATGGCCTTTATCAAGAAATCCCCAAACAACAAATGCTGGTGAGGATGTGGAGAGACAGGCACGCTCTTACACTGCTGGTGGGACTGCAAATTAGTATAACCTTTGTGGAAAATAATTTGGAGATAACTCAAACAACTAAAAATAGAAATACCATTTAACCCAGAAATAGCATTATTTGGCAGCTCAATTCACTATTGCAAGGATGTGGAAACAACCCAAGTGCCTGTCATTTCATGACTGGATTATTAAAATTTGGCATATGTTTACAATGGAATGTTACTCAATTCTAAGAAATGACAGCAAGCTAGCACTGCTTATATTGTCCTGGATTGAGCTTAAGCCCATTATCCAAAGTGAGGTGACACAAGATCAGAAAAATGGGCTCCACATGTACTTGCCATCAAATTGGCACTGAATGATTATCACTATGATGCTCAAAGGGTGGTAATGTCCACCAGGGATTCTGGGGTTTGGGGCGGTAGATCCACATCTGAGGGATGTGGTGAACAGTGTGGAGGGGAAGGCCATACCTCTAACCATTGCTAGGGAAAGGCAAAGATATAAAATATAACTAAAATGTTAAAAAAAATTGTTGGGTGTTGGGCAGGTGGGAGGGAGGGAGGAGGGAACGTGTGTGTGTGTGTGTGTGTGTATATATAAAATAATATATATATGTGATGTGAACTGTCTGGGGGCTGGACACGCTTGAAGCTCTAAATCCAGGGGGAAGGAAGGCAAGAGCAATGTACGTAACCTTAACGTTTGTACCCCCATATTATGCTGAAATAAAATAAACAAATAAAAAAGCACCTTCTCATTGAGGAAATCTCATTGATTTTGTTATACATCTGGCTTTTTATAAATTCCCACTCACCGTCTAGAAAAACAGTATAGTATTATCTCTCTATTGCCTTCTTCCACAGAATCCTCTTTTAATTTACATGTCTATAACTCTCCCCTCCCCATATTATCTTTTGTGATGAAAATGAATGAAAATGAAGCAAAAGAAGGAATAACCATGACCATTGCCTTTCACCTTACATTTTTCTCTTTCCTTACAATCTCGCTAGGAAAACCTTTGAATTAGATAATAGTGGAGAAATAGGCAGGGAGAGCATATAACATACTAAGAAATGGAGGAAGGTGAAAAACCAACATATGCTTAATCCCAATATATTTATTTCTAACTTTGACAGGTTCCCACAATGCTCCAACTTTCTGCTATGAAGAAATTCAAATTCACACAGATAGATTTGGGAACTGCGGTAAGAATAGCGCAAACAAATATATATTCTGTGGATGGAGGTATGTTATACAAATATAAACGATACTCCTTTTCTATTTTTTTTTCAATTTTTCTCTCCCTTTAGTATATGTCATTCATTCCAGTGTTTTAAAGTATTACATTTGCATGGAAGTGAATCTCAGACCCAAATCTCTAGCCCTGATATCTTTCTTGTGCTATAGGTTAAAATTTCATCTTATTTTTAAATATTTACATATGAATCATCATTAGATTCCTAAATCCAATGCAAAATGGTAAACTTCTCATAATCATTATACCATTTCTCTCCAAATCTGTTCACTTCTTTTAAAATTGTATTCCCATCGACTTTGATAACTTGTTCCATATAAAGAGTGTCCAGTATCTGCAAAATAAAGTTGAATTTCCATTACATCTGAAGAGCTAGATTTTTGATTAATTTATTTTAAAACAGCATTTATTAGGAAGATACTATGTGCCAGATACTGGGCTAAATACTAGATACCAAATCATACTCCTACCCTCATGGAATTTACAGACTCAAAAACACAGTATGTAGTTTTATGCTTTCTTGATTTGATTATGCTGTTAGTTTTGTTTAGAAATACCTCACTCTTTCTTTTAAAAGCTTACTAAATTTGTGAGGTTTATCTCAGGTGGCATATTCTCTATGAAGTCTTCTCTAACTGTTAAATTAGAATGTGTCCACATCTTAAATTTCTGTGAGGTTTTGTTAATTTCACTTGTATCAGTTTTTAGTAGAATTTCAGTTGTATTTGTATCATAAGCCATAGTAAGAGTATTAGACTATCTTATTTTTGAGAATAGAGCTTACAACTTTTTCATCTTTCTTTCCTTTTGTAAGGGGATATAAAATGTTGGAGTGAACTGATTATTTGACTGTAAATATATAATTTTCACAGTGAATAAAAGACCATTAATACCATTGAAAGATAAGCTTGTATCAATGTATTTATCCTTTTTTTTTTACTTTTTAATTTAAATGTTAGTATTTAAAGCATTACATTTTCCTCAGGTACATTGCCATAAATGAAGAAATGAAGAACCAGCCTACCTTCCTTCCTTCCTTTCTTCCTTCTTTCCTTCCTTTCTTTTTCCTCTTCTTCCTCCCTCTACCTCTCCTCCTCCTAGTCTTTTTTATCATCTTTCTCTCTCTCTAGTCAAAGAAAGCAAATCAAAAGCACTCCAATAAATGGCTAATACATAATAATATAATTTTATTATGTTTGCAGGAATATTTTATGTGGAAGAGTAGTTTGTACCTTTCCTCATCAAACTCCTTTCCAGCAAGATAATGGTGATGTGATTTATGCTTATGTACGAAATCATTTATGTATAAGTCTAGACCCCAGATTGCATCCCGGCATGGAAGATCCACTGACTATTCAAATTGGCAGTGCTTGTGATTTTGGAAGGGTAAATAATTTTAAATCTAATTTTAAAAAATATAGTTTTATTCATTGCTTCACTAAATGTTTTCACTTAAATATTAAATTTTAATTTCTAGTATTATATAACTTTAAAATGTTTACAGGAGAAGATTAATAAGCTTAAATTGGTCTCCAAATAGTAAGAGAAAAATGTGATTGGTTTCATTCCCTTCAGAATTTCAATGTTATGAGCAAGAAGGCTCCAAGTGTTTGGGGTCTAGAGTGAGAAGGGAAGAGACCTTGGAAATATATTGTGGTGAGGTACTCCATAGCATGGAAACTTGCTTTACTTCTCAGGAGAACAAGAAGGAAGAAATTCCACTTATGAATATATGTCTCTTTGTGGCTTCATCAATAAGAGCACAATTTAAAAAAAACTTTTATATTTCAGCATATTATGGGGTTACAAATGTTTAGGTTAAGTATATTGCTTGTGCCCCACCCAAGTCAGAGCTTTAAGCATGTTCATCCCCCAGATGGTGTGCATTGCACCAATTAGGTTTGAATATACACATACCCTCCTTGCCCCCCCCCCCACCTGCCTGACACCCAGTGAATGTTACTTCTATATGTGCACTTAAGTGTTGGTCAGTTAAATTAGTTAATACCAACTTGATGGTGAGTACATATGGTGCTTATTTTTCCATTCTTGTGATACGTTACTTAGTAGAAAGGGTTCCAGCTCTATTCAGGATAATAGAAGAGGTGCTTTTGTGGCTTAGTAGAACTCCAGGGTATACATATACTACATTTTATTAATCAACTCATGTATTGATGGGCACTTGGGTTGTTTCCACAGCTTTGCAATTGTAAATTGTGCTGCTATAAACATTCTAGTACAGATGTCTTTTTTATAGAATATCTTCTGTTCTTTTTGGTAGATGCCCAGTAATGGGATTACTGGGTCAAATGATAGTTCTACTTGTATCCCTTTGAGGTATCTCCATATTACTTTCCACAGAGGTTGTACTAATTTGCAGTCCCACTAGTAGTGTATGTGTGTTCTTATCTCTCCACATTCATGCCAAGATATATTGTTTTGGAACTTTTTGATAAAGGCCATTCTCACTGGATATGAGTGATATATCATTTGGTTTTTATTTGCATTCCCTGGTGATTAGATATGTTGAACATTTTTTCATATGTTTGTTGGCCATTAGTCTATATTCTTTTGGAAAGTTTCTGTTCATGTCCTTTGCCTGCTTTTTGATAGGATTTTTTGATTTTTTTCTTGCTGATTTTCCTGAGTCCTAAATAAATTCTAATTATCAACCCTTTATCAGATGTGTAACATGTGAATATTTCCTCTGATTTTTTAGGTTGTCTCTTTGCTCTCGTGATAGTTTCATTGGCTGTGCAGAAGCATTCTAATTTGATCAGGTCTCATTTATTTATTTTTGTTGTTGCCGTGGTTGCCTTTGGGTCTTCTACATAAATTTTTTGCCTAGCCAGAAGTCTATAAGAGTTTTTCCAACATTTTCTTCCAGAATTCTTATAGTTTCATGCCTTAGGTTTAAGTCTGTTATCCATCATGTATTGATTTTGTGAAAAGTGTGGATCCTGTTTCAGTCTTCTACATGTGGTTATCCACTCTTACCACCACCATTTATTGAATAAGGATTCTTTCCCCAGTGTATGTTTTTGTTGGCTTTGTTAAATATTAGATGGTTGGTTATATGAGGATGGTTTTATATCTGGGTTCTCAGTTCTGTTCCATTGGTCTGTGTTTCTGTTTTGCCAATACAATGCTGTTTTAGTTACAATAGCCTTGTAGTATAGCTTGCAGTCTGGTATACTGATGCCTCCCAATTTCTTCTTTTTGTTTAAGATTGCTTTTGCTATATGGAGTCTTCTATGGTTCCACACAAAGCATAGAATTATTTTGGAATTTTAAATTATTTTGGAATTTTAATAGGGATTTTATTGAATCTGTAGATCACTTTGGGTAGTATAGACCTTTAACAATGTTGATTATACCAAGTCATGAGCATGGTATGGTTTTTCACCTGTTTAATTCCTCTCGTATGTCATTCCTCAGTGAAAGAATTGATAAGTGGGCAGATGTCTGTTCATCTTATTGAGTTCAACTTTGTTGCTTTGTTTTCTCTCTTGAACCATTTTTATACCTAGCCTTTGACCTTTAGCTTTTGGATGACTTTTCACTGGTGTGTGTTTATTGTATTCATCCATGTGTAACACTGTTTTGAGTACTTCCTAGAGGGCAGGTTTTGTATTGATGAATTCCCTCAGTATTTGCTTGTTTGTAAAAGTCTTTATTTCTCCTTTGTATGGGAAACTTAATTTTGCAGGGCACAAGATTCCAGGCTGGGCATTATTCTGTTTGAGAAGAGTGAGAACAGGGCCCCAGTCTCTTCTTGCTTGTAAGGTCTCAGTTGAGAAGTCTGCTGTTATTCTGATGGGTTTTTCTTTGTAGATTTTCTGCTTCCTTCACCTTAAAACTTATAGGAGGACCTCTTTGGTGTTTATTTTTGTCATTCTTATGACTCAGTGTCATGGTGTCTTCCTGTTTGTGATCAATCTTCCAGGAGTCCTTGGAGCTTCTTGTAACTGAATATGTAGAAATTTATCAAGGCATGGGAAATTTTCCTCTATCATAGCCTCAAATAGCTTATCCAACCCTTGTGTATTTTCTTCTTCACCCACAGGGATTTATATAATTCTCATGTTAGGCCTCTTCACATAATCCCACATGTTTTGTAGGCTTTGCTCTTTTCTCATATTTTTCTGCTCTGTCTTTGTGACTGTCTTATTTAATTGAAGGGGTTATCTTCCATCTCTGAGATTCTTTCTTCTATTTGATATACCCTGTTCTTGAGGCTTTCCACTGTGTTTTATAATTCCTTGAATAAATTCTTCATTTCCAGAAGAATGATTTCTCATTAATAGTTTGATTTCTCATTAATATTTCAATTTCTTTAGTGAATTTTTCTTCTAGGTCCTGGATTTTTTTTTGTGTGTGGTTTCTTTGTGTTGGTTATCCATTTTTTCTTGCATATCATTGAGTTTTTTTTATAATCCTTGTTCAGAACTCTTCTGTTACTTTAGTGTTGTGAATTTGGTTGATATCCATTGCTAGAGTGCTGGTGTTCCCCTTTGGGGGTGTGCTGTTGATTTGGTTATTCATACTTCCAGAGTTTTTTTCTGATTCCTTTCTATCTGGTTTGGCTATTGGTTGTAACCTTTAGGTTTTCATTTACATAATGACATGCCCTGTTTAGTCTCTCAGCCAGTAGGTGGTGTTTTGGGGTGACATTTTGACCACACCTTGTATGATGAGTCAGTAGATGCAGTAAAAGGGTGTGCTGAATGAGCTTCTTGCCAGTAGGTGGCACTTTCTGGGAGGAACAGGCTGCAGTGTTGTTTTTGGGTCCTGTAACCAGCCTTTGATCCTTGAAGTGGCACTCTAGTGCCTCAGGTGGTGTGTCAGGCTCTGGGACTTCCAGGTGTGTAAGGCTGGGTGCAGCTGGGTTGTGTCAGCCTTCAAGCTCCACAAATTCTGTTAGCAGGGGTCAAAGGTCCATTCTCTGCTTCTGGGCCAAGCTGCCAGTGAGGTCCTGAAATGGCTCTACTCAGCCAAAAAATCTGTATGTGTGGCTGGGGTTTTCTGAGACCTGCAATCTGGAGCAGACCTCGCTCCTTTTACCCTCCCCTATTCTGTGATTTCCCCCGGGCCTTTGCCAGCTATCAGGACTGCAAGCCAGCAGATCTCCCCTGGCTGTGATGAGGGCCAGGAGGTTTTCTGCCAAGGATTGCAGCCTGAGCTAGGAACATTGCCCTCCCATGGGAGGAGGCTTTCCCTTCAACACAGTGATCTGTCCCTGAATGCACACACACCTCGGTAGGCTTATTCACAATGATCCCCTCTGTGCACCTGGGCAATGCAATGGATACCTGAGTGTATGGGATCTTGTCTGCAGGCCTGTCCCCTGGGTCCCAGAGAGCAATCCATGACTGTGCCACGGAGAGGAGTGTAAGTCTCAAGCCACCCATGGGGTGCCGAAGGTGGATCAATGTCTCTCTGCCTCGGAATTTGCCCTGATCTCTGGAGTCACCAGGCTCGCAGCACCTGGGAGGGCTGGCAGGTAGGGAGCTCATAGGGTGAGTGTCCCTTAGTGAACTGTAGTGCCCCAAAAGGAAATGTCCCATTCCCTTCAGATGCCTCTGCTGGTGACTGAATTGTCTTTCTCAGAAGCTGCAGGTATGGAAGGGGGAAGGGAGAATGAAGCAGTATTGCACCTGGTAATCAGCTTGGGTCTGTGGGCCAGGAGTTGCCTCAGGGAGCTGGAAGCCTGGTGTCCTCCCTGCAGAGGGTCACCACCGCTCATTGGCAGCAGCCATCTGGGCTTGTGTTCGCAGGTTGCTTTAACCATTGATGAGGCCACCAGCGGCCTGAGTTAGAAGAGGGGAAATTTAACTGCTCTACCTACCCTTGACACTTTTCTACAAGTCTCTTGGTGGCCTTTTTTCTTCCAGTTCTCCTCTGCAGCTTCTTCCAGTGGAGTCTCCTATAGTTTCAGGCATCCTTCCTTCTGACCCTCATCCAATCTATGTTTGTCTGCATGTTTATTTATTTTTTCACTTTCTTCTAAAATCTATCTTTCTTGCAGAAACACTCTGGTTGGTGGTTTTTCTTCTCTGTCATCTAAGAGCATAACTTAGATCAGGCTATTTAGAATCAAATCTTTACTTCTTAGTGTTTCACATTTTGCAGATTACCTAGCCAATCTGAGATACATCAGCAATATGTAAAGTGGAGTAAATAGCATTTACTCTATAGGGACTTTTGGTTGTGGAAATTTAAGGCTATGAATTTTCCCATTAGGAATGCTTTTGCTGAATCTCATAAATTTTGATAGCTTGTGTCCCCTTTGCCATTAAGTTTAAGGAATCCTTTGATTTCCTTCTTAATTTCATCATTGAGCCACTAATTGTTCAGCAGCAGGTTGTTTAATTTCCATGATCCTGTGTATAATTGAATTATATTCTTGCAATTTATTTCTAGTTTTATTTTACTGTGGTCTGGGAGGATACATGGTGTGATATGATTTTTTAGAGTTTGTTGAGGCATGCCTTTGGCCTAAGATATGAGCCATCTTGGAGAAAGTTCCATGTGCTGATGAAAAGAATGTGTATTCATTAATTTTCTTTAGTAGAATTTTCTATAAATGTCTGTTAAGTCCATTTGTTATAAGGTCCCATTTAAGTCCAGTGTTTGTTTATTTTGTGCTTGGAGAATTTGTTGAGCTCTGACAGTGGGTATTGAAGTCCCTAGCAATTATGATGCTAGTATTTATTTTATTGCTTAGTTGTTCTAGAATTTGTTTTATGTATCTGGGAGTTTCTGTGTTAGGTGCATATATATTTCAGATTGTTATGTCTTCTTGTTGAATTGCTCCCTTTACCATTATATAATGACTAATGACTGTCTTTTTCTTTACCCTTGTTGATTTAAAGTCAGTTTTGTCTGATGTGAGAATAGCCTTTGGTTTTCAATTGTGTGGAATACTTTTTCCATCCTTTCACATCGAGCCTGTTTGCATCCTTGTGGTTTAGATGTGTTTCCTGGAGACAGAAAATATTTGGGTTGTATATTTTAATCCATTCAGCCAGCCTGTGTCTTTTGAGTGGCTCATTTAAACCATTAAATTAAGGAATATAATTGATATATGGGATATTGTCTGTTCATTATTTTGGGTAGTACCATATTGCTTAGTTTTCCCTTTTGTGCTATTGTTTTATAGGAGTTGTGAGCTTTTGCTTTTTTGAGTGATATTACACTGGTGGGCATCTATTATGCTGATTCATTATAATACAGTTTTTCTGCAGTTCAGATGTGGTCTTGACAAATTCCCTCAGTGTTTGCTTTTCTAGAATTTAATTAATTTCTCCATCAATTGTGAAACTTAGTTTTGAAATATACAAAATTCTAGGCTGGCAGTTGTTCTATTAAGAAGATTGGATATAGGACTCCATATCCTTCTGGCTTGTAAAGTTTCTGCTGAGAAGCCTGCTGTTAGCCTGATGGGCTTTCTTTTGTAGGTCAGTTGTTGCTTTCATGTAATTGACTGTAGTATTTTCCCCTTCATTTTGACTTTGGACAGGTTGATTTCTATTTCTATTATAGATGTCCTATTTGCTATGAATCCTTCCCAGTGTTTGATGACTATCCTGTATTTGGATGTCTGGATCTCCAATGATACCAGGGAAGTTTTTCTCAATAATTCCCTCAAAGCGATTCTGCATGGTTTTAGTCTTTTCTTCTTCTTCCTCAGGGATACCTACAATTGTTATGTTAGTTCACTTCACATAGGTCCATATCTTTATAGGTGATTGCTTTGCCCTTTTTATTCTCTTCTCTGCATCTTTAAATGACTGGGTTAGCTTTAGAGCCTTGTTTTCAAGCTCTGAGATTCTTTTTTCTCCTTGGTTTAATCTTTTGCTGTAGCTATCTGCTGTATTTTGAAATTCCCTAAATGACTATTTAATTTGTTCAAGTTTTATTATATCCTTCCTTATGCTATCCAGTTCTTTAGCCAGCAGTATTTATTGAATAGGGCTATACCCAGTCCATATTGTTGTCTGCTTTGTTGAAGATCAGTTCATTGTTGGGAGATGGTTTTATACCTGGGTTCTCTGTTTTGTTTCATTGGTCTATGTCTCTATTTTTGTAGCAATGCCATACTGTTTTTGGTTCCTCTATAGACTTAAAGTATTATACCTTAAAGTTAAAAAATTATATCTGGATTTTTGATACATTCCATGATAGAATGCTAGACAACTCTAGCATATTTTAATGAAAATTTTCATTACCTTTATTAAATACCTATGGAACTCTGATAATGGCTCCTATTTTATGAAAACTGTTTTGATATGTGCAATTAATATATGGTATGATTTTAACTATGTGCTCAGGAATAGTTTTGTTATATTTCATGTTATGGTAATGAAAAATGGTTCTTTGTTTATACGGTTTTTTTATGAATAGCAAAGTTTATTTCATTGATATTCCCTACTCCCCTGCCTGAATCATTTAAAAAATTATTGATTTTTAAAAATAGACTTTATGTTTTAGTGCAGTTTTAGGTTCACAGAAAAATTGAGTGGAAGATACAGTGTTCCTATTTGCACCTCATCCCCTATTGCCTCCCCACACACAACCTCTCCCACTATGCAGAACCCTCACTGATATGGTACTTTTGTTATAATTGATGAGCTTACATTGGCACATCATTATCACCTAAAGGTCATAGTTCACATTAGGGTTACCTGAAAAATTTCCAAATTATTGTAAATTAAATAACAAATTTCTAAATAACACATGGGTCAAGGAAAAATTTTCAAGAGAAATTTTTAAATATGTGAATTACATGAAAATGAAAATACACCTTATCAAATTTCTGGAATGCAGCAAAAGCAGTACTTAGAGTGAAATTTATAACATTGAATTGTTATGATTTTATGTTATAGAATTACTAATTGTAATGTAATTGCTGGAGCTACTTGTTTAGAAACATTTTTCTCTGTGTTTTTCTTAGGTTTGTAGTTCGAAGCGTGTATGTGAGAATACAGAGTTGCTTACTAATCCTGCAGATGAATGTACAGAAAAATGCAATGGACGTGGAGTAAGTAAGCACATGTTTCCCTGAATCATATTTATGTTGGACACGTTTTAGCATCACTCCTTAATTTATCAATATTTATTTGATTGTTGGTATATGCCAGATCTTGTTGCATTTATTTTCAATTTAGAGCTGAATTAAGTTTTTAAATTCAGCAGCCATAATTAGTTTTAGAGAACACTTTGAGTAGAATTAAATTACTGATGACCTAAAAAATTTATTGTTATAGTTGGATACTTTACAGAATGTGTTTACATTTTCCAGTAAATACATTGACCTGTTCACAAAGGGCAGATAATTAAGCCACAACTTCTGTATCTGTGGATACATGAAGTCATGGAAAACAACTGGTTTTCTCTCTCTTTTAAAAAGTAGACTTTATTTTTTAGAGAAGCTTTAGGTTCACAGAAGTTTTAGTGTAAAGTACAGAGATTTTCTGTATAACCATTCATCCCATATCCACACAAGCTTCCTCAATTTTAACATCATACACCACAGTGGTACATTTGTTACAATTGATGATCCATGTGGACACATCATAATCACCCAAAGTCCATAGTTTACATCATGGTTTACTCTTACATTTTATGGGGTCCTTACAAATTAAAATGATGTATATTTATCATTATACTACCACATAGAGTATTTTCACTACCCTAAAAATCTTCTGTGCTCCATCAATTCATTCTTCCCTCTCCCCTAACTCCTAGCATCCACTGATGGTTTTTGCTCACTACATAGTTTTTCCTTTTGTAGAATGTCATTTTATTGGAATCATATAGTATGTAGGATTTTCAGATTGGCTTGTTTGGGTTACTGATATGCAATTAAGCTTCTTCCATCACCTACCACAGTGATATATTTGTTACAATGGATAAACCTACATGGATACATCATTAATTCCCAAAGTCCATAGTTAACCTTAGGGTTCACTCTTGGTGTTGTACATTCCATGGGTTTTAGAAAATATAAAATGACATGTATTTATCATTATAATATGATACAGAGTATTTTAACTGCTCTAGAAATTCTCTGCATTCTGCCTTTTCATCCTGTTCTTTTCACCCCAATCCCTGACAACCAGTAATAATTTTACTATTTCCATAGTGTTTCCTTTTCCAGATTGTCATATTATTGGAATTGTACAGTATATAGCCTTTTCAGATTGCTTTCTTTCACTCATTCATATACATTTAAAGTTTCCCCATGTCTTTTCATTGCTTGATAACTCATTTATATTTGGTCTTAAATAATATTCCATTGTCTGGATGTACAGTTTTTTAATCCATTCACCTACTGAAGAATCTTGGTTGCTTCCACATTTGGTACTATGAATAAAGCTGCTATAAACATCCTTATGCAGGTTTCTGTGTGGACATAAATTTTCAACTCTTATGGGTAAATACCAAGGGTTGCCATTGCTGGATCACATGCTAAGAGTATGCTTAGTTTTGTAAGAAACTGCCAAAATATCTTCCAAAGTGGCAGTACTATTTTGCATTCCCATGAGCAATGAATGAGGGTCCCTTTTGCTCCAAATCCAAGCGAACATCTAATGTCAGTGTTTTGGGTTTTGGCCATTCTAATAGGTATGTTGTGGTATCTCATTATTGTTTTAATTTGCAATTTCATGATGAAATATAATGTGGAGCATCTGTTCATATACGTGTTTACCATCTCTATATATTTTTTGATGAGGGTGTATTTTGCCCATTTTTAAATGAGTCTGTTTATTTTCTTATTGTTGAGCTTTCAGTGTTATTTGTATATTTTGGATAACAGTCCTGTATCTGATGTGTCTGTTGCAAATATTTTCTCCAAGTCTGTGACTTATCTTTTCATTCTCTTGACAGTGTTTTTCACACAGGAGAAAATTTTAATTTAATGAGATCAGCTTCTCAATTCTTTCTTTCATGGACTGTGCCTCTGGTATTGTATTTAAAAAGTCTATGCCATACCTGAAGTCATCTAGGTTATTTCCTAAGTTATCTTCTAGGAGTTTTCATCTAGTTTTACAATTTATACTTATGTCTAGGATCCATTTTGGGTTAATATTTTGAAGGTTGTAGGGTATGTGTCTAGATTATTTTTTTCTATGTGAATGTCCAGTTATTCCAGCACCACTTGTTGAAAAGGCTTTCTGTTCTCTACCATATTGCTTTTTTGCCTTCCTCTAAGACCAGATGACTGGATTTACATATATTTATTTTTGGACCCTCTATCCTGTTTCATTTACCTTTTAGATTATTCTTTCTTCCATAATATACTAACTTGAATGCATAGATTTATAGTATGTTGAGGCGAACTCTTCTGACTTTGTTCTTTTCCTTTCAATATTGAGTTGGCTACTTTGAGTCTTTTGTGTCTTCAAATAAACTTTACATTCAATTTGTTGATTTATGCAAAATAACCTGCAGGGATTATGGGTGGAATTGCATTCAATCTATAGATGAAGTTAGGAAGAATTGATATCTGACAATAATAAGTCTTCCTATCCATTAACATGTAATATCTCCTCATGTATTTAGTTCTTTTTCTAAATAATTCTTTCATCAGTGTTTTGTAGTTTTTCTCATGTTGATCATATACATATTTTGTTAGATTTATAGCTAATACTTCATTTGGGGGGTGATAATATAAAGGATAGTATGTTTTAAATTTAAAATTTCATTTGTTCATTGTTGATCCAGTAAGGAAATGATTGGCTTTTGTACATTTAACATTGTATCTTGCAAACTTGCCATAATCACGTAGTTCCAAGTTTCTTTTCCTTCAGTTCTTTTTAGATTTTCTACATAGATGATTATGCATGCAAACAATGACAGTTTTACTTTTTCCTCCCATTTATTATATCTTTATTTCCTTTTCTGGTCTTACTGTATTAGCTAGAACTTCCAGTTTGATGCTGCAGTAGGAGTGGTGAGAAGGAATATCCTTGTATTGTTTCTCATCTCAGTGGGAAAGTATCTAATTTCTCACCATTAAATATTATGTTAGCTATAGGTTTTTTGTTAGATATTCTTTATCTCCTTGAAAAAGTTTTCCTGTATTCCTAGTTTGCTGATAGTTTTTTTTAAGTCATGAATGCAACTTGGATTTTATTTCTTGAATACTTTTTCTGTATCTATTGATATTATAAATGTGATTTTTTTTCTTTAATCTGCTGGTGTGTGATGAATTACATCAACTGATTTTATAATGGTGAACCATTCTTGCATACCTGGGATAAATCTCATTTAGTTGTGGTGTTTAATTCCTTTTATATGTTGTTGAATTCTATTTGCTAATATTTTGGGGGGAGTTGCATCTATGTTCATGAGAGATATAGTCTGAAGTATCCATTTCTTTTAATATCTTTCTCTGATTTTGGTATTATAGAAAGTTGGTATAATTTCTTCCTTAAATACTTGGTAGAATTCAGTACTAAAACCATCTGAACAAACTATTATCTTTTAGATCAATTAGGAATTAAAAACAGTTTTTAGTTTAAGTTAATTCTTTCTCTAAGGTTTTGCTTTTCTTTCTTTATATAAATCAGATTTTTCTGACCTGTATAGTTTTCCTTTTCTCTGAAAAACTCCTTTAGCATATATTTGAAAGGCAGGTCTATTGGTTGATAAATGCTCTAATTTTTTTTTTTCCTGAGGAAGTCTTTATTTTTTTCTCATTATTGAAAGATAACTCTAGATTGGTGATTTTTTTTTTGTCAACCCAGAAAAAAATATCATATCAGCAATTCCTGCTATCATGCCATATCTATGTATCTGATGCTCTCTTGAAATACAAAATCTTTTGCTTGAGAATCAAACTGTAAATTAAAAATAAAATCCTAAGCTCCCACAAATGACTGAACAGACCCGCTCTTGTCTAAGGGGACCCCAGAGAAATCTTAAAACTGAGAACCTTGCCATGACAGGACAAGAGGTGAGGCACACCTTATTGTACCCTCTCCATTTTACAGTATAGAAACAACAACTGACCAGCATAAATGTTAAAATAGAGATCATAAAATTGACAGAGCAGACTCTTTGTGGCAGTAAGATACCAAATTATAAACAAGATCTAAGGCCATGCCAGGTAATGGTTAAGTCACATCTGTAGACCATCAATTTTGCTAAACAGGTCACTTTGACCCAGTATATTGTGGCTTGCTCCCATAATCTGGCTCTGACATAGTATCACATGATGATTACCAGATTTCCTAATGTTAACTGAAACATTCTTTTCTGCTAACTTCAATTTTTTAGACAAATCCTTACTTCTTTCACCAATTGTAAATTGAACAATCTCTGCATCCACCTATGACCTGCTTCAAGATATCCCATCTTTTTAGGCCAAATCAGTGTGTAACCTCCAGGTATTGATTTATGCCTTTGCCTGTAACTTCTGCTTCCCTGAAATGTATAAAGCAGGGTTACATTCTAACAGCCTTATGGTCACTTACTAAAATCTTTTGGGTCTGTGTTTCCATCAGGCCATGGCCACTCACATTGGCGGAGATAAACCTCTTTGAAATGTTTTACTGTTTGGGTTTTCCATGGACAAAACAAAAGCAAACGAAACAAAACCCATCCTGGTAAAGGCATTATTAAGCTGGTAAATGTTTAGCAGCTTGCCTGGGGAGGGTAAAAGCCTCATTAGTAGGGCACATACTTCAAGTTACCAACATGAAGTCACTGAAGGGGGAGGTGGAAAGAGATGAACACGATCAGCTCTGGGAGCTGGTACTAGATGGCTCCAGAACACTGGTGTAAGGGTCACATTTTCATTAGAATTTAAGTATGCATTTTTGAAATTGTGCATTATATTTGCAGGTAAACATTTGAAGGTGTTAAATTTTCTTGATGCAAATATCATGAGCCTTACTTTATAGCTCCTTTTGTTCTTGCTGTTTTGAGGGTATATTTTAATCTAAGAAACCAAGCATTTTATACTTGGGGTTATCTCTCTCAAATAAACAAAATTATACCAGAATACTATACAAAAGTAAGCTTGATGATCCATCTCATAATTTTACTTTCTTTGAGAAGGTATTTTAAAGTAATCGTTTTTTTTCTTTTTTTTTAAATGACCCTAGGTGTGCAACTCCTTGGGGGAATGCAATTGTACTGGTGGCTACTTGCCTCCAACTTGTGAGTCACTTCGTGGGGCAACTCGTTCTATGCCTCCTGTGGGAAAGGGTAAGTATCTATCTGTTTAGAAATTCATTTAATAAAATTCTCTAATTGTTTATCGTCACTTAAAAAGTTAGATTTTCCCACTTCAAAGGAGACCAATATTTGTAATGAAAAGGTAATCAGACTTCTCTCAAAAATGGAAACCAAATATGCCTTCTTAACTTTGCTCTTTTCTAACATTAAAATATCATGATTTAAATGGAATATTTAAACAAATTTCTCTTTACTAGTACCATTGACATTTTCTTTTAGAATAGTTTTCAACCTCTCCCCACTTTTATGATTGATCCTGTGATTTCATGTCTAAACAAACAACATTTACTCTCTGCCTAGCACTGTTACTCTGTTTCTGTTTTGGAAGGAAAGAAAGAGACGACAAGCTTTTACTCTGAAAGAGTTTATAGGTTAAATGAGAAAAATCTATAAATTGCTACTTAAGCCATGACAGAAGGGATGCTGGCACAATTTTCTGTTTCTTTACCATGGCTTTAGTTTCTGTCATTCATTCATTTTATTAGTAAATATTTATTTCACTCTTAATATATGCCAGGTGGTGATCTAGCCACTGGGATGAGGAGTGAGAAAAGAAAATGTTCTCATGGAGTTTAGAAAATACGTTTTAAGTCTATATACCCAGTGCTAACAAGTGGCAGAAGCAGGATTAGGAATCCAGTCTCCTGATTTTTATGCTTGTGTCCTTTATTAGCACTGTAATGATAAACATAGATCTCTAATGTCAAATACAAGAGTCTACTAAAGAAAAATAAGATATTCACAAATACACTGAAATCCTTTGATAATGCACTTTGTGACAATACAAATTTGGACAACCTTGCAATTACACAATCCCACATTATGTATCATTGAACTCTTTTGTCCCCACTTATAGTGTTCTAGTGATATTTTTCTATTTACTGTAAAATGCAGAATACTTTTGAACTTTCTAAAACTTTTTTTTCCAAGCTTTTAGAATGAAAGCTTGTAGAGATAGTCCAAGGATTATGATTCCATAATTCTTTTTCCATGTTCCTTGAATAATAATAAAGATATGGAAAATTTTAATGATTTTGTTGCAACTTGAAAGTAAAAGTAGAGTTTAATTTTTTGATTTTTTAAATGTATTTTTATTTTTAGGTTTAATAACAGAAAAACATTCTGGGAAGAGTAAAAAGAGATGGCTTCTAGGTTTCTACATTTTTCTTCCTATACTCATTGTACCAACCATTGTAGCTCTGGCATGGAATCGTTTGAAAAAGAGGTTCACCAAGGAAGAGGAATCTCTAAGTAGCAGGTAAATTGAATTTGTGTTCTGAAGTTAAACTTAGTACCATTTGAATCTAGTCACATGTAAGCTATATCATGACCAGCCATAATACTTTACATTTTGCAGGAGTTTGAGTATTACATCAACATGTCAGTTAATTTTGTGAGATAGTTGTGAATATTCCCATTTTAAATATACAAAGATTTGGAAGTGTAGTTTCAAGAATCTTTCAAAGTCATTATACTGTTAATGGAGAGAGGAAGGACTCAAGTATATCCATGTCTGTTGCTTTCAAATACCCTGGAGATTATCAAAGGGTGATCTCTGTCACCCACAAAAGAAGTACTAGAGGTATTTATTAAAAATGCAGATTTATGTGTCCTACCATAGATGAAATATTTCAATTCACATTGCTACCTCATATAAGTAACAAATTAAAAGATATTCTCTGGGTAAAATTTTCAAAAGGCAAATTTATAATGTATCCTACAACATTTTTATTTTTAAAGAAATAATTCAAATACTAAGAGAGAAGGCAACAGAAATCTACATGCCTGCTAGTGGAAATACACAAATGTTACTAGTTTTCTTGTTCATTTTATGAAATAAACCATTGCTTTTTCAGCTGCAGTTCCTTCTAGCATGATACTTCCTCCTCCGTGCAGAGAATGTCTATAACAAAAGTTTGGTGTATCCTACGTATATGCTACATATAGCAAGCAGCATCCATGTGCCATATCTAGTATTGATTTTTTTTTTTTTTGCGGGGACACAACTGTGTTCTTAAATTTCTTTTTTTTTAAATTTCAGCATATTATGGGGTACAAATGTTTAGGTTACGTATATTGCCTTGTCCCCGCCTCCCCCGAGTCAGAGCTTCAAGTAAGTCCACTCCCCCAGATGATGCACATCGCACTAATTATGTTTCTATATACCCATCCCCCCCATCTGCCCAATACCCAATAAATGTTACTCCTCTATGTCCACTTAGATGTTGATCGGTTAATACCACTTTGCTGGTGAGTACATGTGGTGCTTATTTTTCCATTCTTGGCATATTTAACTTAGTGGATCAGGTTTCAGCTCTGTCCAGGATAATATAAGAGATGCTATATCACCATTGTTTCTTGTAGCCGAATAATACTCCTTGGTATACATATACCACATTTTATTAATCCACTCATGGATTGATGGGCACTTGGGTTGTTTCCACATCTTTGCAATTGTAAATTATGCTGCTATAAACATTCGAGTGCAGATGTCTTTTTTTTTTATCTTGTTTTATTTTAGCGTATTATGGGGGTACAAGTGTTAAGGTTATGTATATTGCCCATGGCCCCCCTCCCCCCTTGGGTCAGAGCCTAAGCATGACCATCCCCCAAACATTGCACATTTCACTCTTGTGTTTGTGTACACCCACCCCCTCCTTCCCCTTCCCACTTGCCCGACATCCAATAAATGTTATTCCTATATGTCCACTGAGGTATTGTTCCAGTGTGGGGCGGGTGGGAGGGGGGAGGAGGGAATGGTATATACAAACACAATGAGTGAGATGTGCAACGTTTGGGGGATGGTGACGCTTGAAGCTCTGACTAAACATTTGTACCTTTTGACCAATATCTCTCCATTTTCCCCATATCCAAGCCTGGTGACCACTTTTGTGTTCTCTTGTTTCTAGGAGTTTGATATTTTTGGATTCCAGATATAAATTAGATCATGGCATGTTGTCTTTCTGTGTCTGCCTTATTTCACTTAGCATAATATTCTCCAGGTTCATCACTGTTGCCACAAATGCAGGATTTCCTTCTTTTTTTAAGACTGAATAATACTCTGTCATGATATATATGTATCCATCCATTAATGTGTTGATGGACATTCATGCTACTTCCATATCTTAGCTATTGTGAATAAGGCTTCAATAAACATCAGAATGCAGGTATGTCTTTGAGTTTCTGATTTCAATTTCTTTGGATATATACCTTAAAGTGGGATTGCTAGATAGTTATGTTTTTAATTTTCTGAGGAACCTCCCTACTGTTTTCCGTAACTTCTGTACCAATCTGTGCTTCCACTAACAGCATACAGATGTTCCATGTTCTCTACATTCTTGCCAACAGTAGTTCTCGGTTCTCTCTCTCTCTCTTTCCCTCTGTTCATAGCCATCCTAATAGGTTTGAGACAATGACTCATGAGAGGATAACTCATGTGCTTTTGATTTGCATTTCCATGATGATTAGTGATGTTGAGCACCTTTACATATACCTGTTGTCCATTTGTATATCTTCCTTGGAGAAATGTGTATTTAGGTTCTTTGCCCATTTTTTAATCAGGTTATTTAGTTTTTTGCTGTTAAGTTGCATGAGTTTCTTATATATCTCTTGATTATTACCTCTTATTGGATAAATGGTTTCTGAATATTTTCTCCCATTCTGTAGGTTGTCCTTTTGATTTATTGATTGTTTCCTTTGCTGTGCAGAAATGTTTTATTTGATATAGTTTGTTTACTTTCACTTTTGTTACCATGCTTTTGGTGTCATATCCAAACAAATCATTGCCAAGACTAATGTCAAGGGACTATTCATATGCATATTTCTAGGATTTTTATGGTTTTAAGCTTTATGTTTTAAGTCTTTATTTGAGCTTATTTTTGTGTATATTATAAGGGTCCAATTTTATTATATTTCGACAGTGGCCACCCAGTTTTTTCAACACCATTTATTTAAGAGACTGTGTTCCATTGCATATCTGGGCACCTTTATCTCATATTAGTGGACTGTACAACTGTGGATTTATTTCTATTCCGTGAGGGCTTTTTAACCTGTTTCATTGGTTTATATATCTGTTTTTATGCCAGTACCATATGTTCCATAACATAATTTGAATTCAAGAAGGTGATGCCTCCAGCTTTGTTCTTTTTTCTTAATATTGCATTAGTGATTGAGAGTCTTTTGTGGTTCCATAGTAATTTTGGTATTGCTTTTTCTATTTCTATGAAAAATGTCATTGGGGTTTTGATAGAGATTGCATTGAATATGTAGATACCTTTAGGTAGTATGGACATTTTTGCAATATTAATTTTTTCAATCTACAAGTACAGGATATAGTTCTATTTATTTGTGTCTTCTTCAATTTCTTTCATCAATTTTTTAATAGTTTCAGTGTTCTTATCCATTCTGTCTTTTTTCTCCTTATGGAATCCCTACATTTTAGGGTATCCATTCTGGCCTCCATGTTGGTGATGGTGGTGGTGGTTCTTTTCTTTCTCTATCTTCTCTTCCTTTCCTCCCTTTTTTTTCTTTTGAGACTGGAATAGGACTTTTTAAAACTGAGATATAACTTATGTACAGTGAATGTCATCATTTTTAGTGTGCAATTTTATGAGTTTAACAAATATGTACATATACCACTCACTAGCACAATAAAATACAGAATAGATTTATCATCCAAAAACTTTTCTATACAACACTACTTTGAGTTACCTGTTTCACTCAGAACTGTGAGATTTTTTAACTTAGGTAGTGGGACCTCAAGCTATTCCTGTCCCTGTGTGAGTGTAAGAGATTACCAGCTTTGTTGAGATTACCACCTTTCCTCTCTGGTGTTCTGCCCTGTGTACTCCAGCTGTCTTGGCCTCCCTAGACTGACAACTCTGTCACCTCCACAGCAGGGGACCTGCTGGGCTTTGCCCCCTTGTTGCTCTATGGCCTGTAAACTCTCTCCAGGCATAAGAAGATTCAGCCCTAGGGCTCACCTTATTTAACTCAGTTCACTACTCCATCTTGGCCAGAATTGGAAGTATGCCTTTATCACTTGTATTATATTTTCACATTTTATTATTATTATTATTATTATTCTTGAGACACAGTCTCGCTGTGTTGCCTAGGCTAAAGTGAGTGCCATGGCATCAGACTAGCTCACAGCAACCTCAAACTCCTGGGCTCAAGCGATCCTCCTGCCTCAGCCTCCCGAGTAGCTGGGACTACAGGCATGCGCCACCATGCCCGGCTAATTTTTTCTATATATATTAGTTGGCCAATTAATTTCTTTCTATTTATAGTAGAGACAGGGTCTCGCTCTTGCTCAGGCTGGTTTCGAACTCCTGACCTCGAGCAATCCGCGTGCCTTGGCCTCCCAGAGAGCTAGGATTACAGGCGTGAGCCACCGCGCCCGGCCTCACATATTATTTTTAATCTCTGCATAATGTAAGCATTCTGTTTGATTTTCCCAGATCTTTCTTCCATTTCTCCAATTCTTTCTTCATTTCTGTCCTTTTCTAGACTTATGGATTCTATTCCTGAAAAGATATTTATGGAGATTCTTAATATTCTTATGTTAAAGTGTCTTTAAACAAATCATTTGTAGTTCTTGGTGTGTGAATTCATTGTTTTACTCTGGCGTTGACTTTAACACTTAGTGGTTTGTAATCTTAGTCTCTTTTATCTTTAGTCTGTATGATTTTCCCATGAGCATTCTGCGTGTGCTATGTTGTAGAGACAGACATGTAGGTTGTTTGGTTTTTTATTCTATTAAAGCAAAAATATTTTAAATAATTGCAGAGTGTGGCATTCAAGAATTGTGGTAATTATAAACTGGGTCCTAAAACCACTTTTTGGAGGCTTGGGATTCTTTCTTTTCATGGTAATGCATATTTCCACCTATATATGCCCATTTCCCTGCTGCATTCTAAAGGCCACAATGGTCAGAATTTTTAGTATTCTTGTTTCATTGTTGATATAGCCCCTTCTGGCTCCCAGGTTTAGTTAAGCATTCACTTACAGTTTTTTCACATCCAAAGGCCTGGAACCTCACCTCTTTCTAAGGCAGGGCTATTAAGTCTCTAGCCTCAAAGATGCATAAATGGTTTAGATACTCTGCAGTCATTCAGTCATAGCTTCTGTTTTCCCTGTGAGCTCTCAGTTTTATCATTTTTATTGTACCAGAAGTATTTCCTTGTTGTTAGCCTCAGTTGTGCACTAAATATTTGCATCATTTTCTTTTCAGCACTCCTCTATGTGAGGAATAAAAAGGGGAAACTTCTTTGCCAAGACCACTCTTCCATACTGTCTACAAATCATAGATTTTAATTTACAAAATGTGATATTTCTTTAACAATGAATAAAAAGCTAAAAGTTGGGGTCTGAAGATCAGAATCAGACATTCAGGGTCAAACCTATACTCTGTGTTTAGAAGGGATAAAAGGAAAAAGCAAATCTGCACATTTTTGATGTTCTCTTCACTGCAGGAGTTTATTTTTGGACTTTTTGTGAATCATGTATATAGGCAAATAAGAATGTTACTTATTTGAATCTTTGGCCAATGACCTTTAGAAAGAAATTATTTTATTTATTGGTAACCAGTCTTGTAAAAGAGATAATACTACTTATAAAATGTCCTGATTTTTATTTATGTAGTTGGCAAGCTTTCTTAGTACTTACTTGAGACATTATTTTCAATTTTTTTTAGATCCAGATCAGAAGAAAGCACTCACACGTATGCCAGCACGTAAGTGGGTTAGATATGTTTTTAAGATACATGTAGAAAATTAAGAATTAATTGATAAATCACAATTCATTCATAAATATTTTTCTTAATATGAATTGGTAAAGCAATGCACTGAAAATTAGACTACTAATATATACTAATTGAGTTTCTAATTATTCCTTTTTTCATTTAATAAATGTTTATTAGGCATCTACTACTAAGGAAACAAGAAGTAAAATAGCTGAGTCTAATGAGAGAGAGGATATGTATAATTAGTGAGAAAAAATATATATAGTACCTGGAAGTTACCCAACGTGGGTTATATAGTCATGCGCTGCATAATAACGTTTCATTCAGTGACAGACCATATATGTGATGGTGGTCCCACAAGAGAGTAATGTAACTGAAAAATTGACTAATGATGTAGCCATCATAACATCATAGAGAAATGCATTTGAGTAAACTGAAAAGCTTCTGCACAGCTAAGAAACAATCAACAGAGCAAACAGACAACCTACAGAATGGGAGAAAATATTTGCAAGCTACACATCCAAAATTTACAAAGAATTCAAACAAATCAACAAGGAAATAAACAAACAAACAACCGTATTGAAAAGTAGGCAAAAGACATGAACAGAAGCTTTTCAAAAGAAGAAAGACAAATGTCCAATAAATATATGAAAAAACAAGATGTGGAGGTTGAAGGCAGTGACATTTTACTATCTTCACCCTGTGTACGCCTAGGCTAATCTGTGTTTTTGTGTCTTAGTTTTTATTTTTAATAAAAACGTTTAAAGGAAAAACATAAAAGATTTGAGGCAAAGATATAAAATGTAACCAAAATGTAAAAAACAAAACCAAAAACAAACAAACAAACAAAACCGATTTATCAAGTGTGGGGTGGGTAGGAGGGGGAGGAGGTCATGGGTGTATACTTACATAATGAGTGCCATGGCACCACCGGGAGGATGGACCCGCTAGAAGCTCTGACTTGGCGTGGGGGTGGGGGTGGGAGGGGCAAGGGCAATATATGTAACCTTAACAACATTTGTACCCCCATAATATGATGAAATAAAAAAACTTTAGACACTAAAATTGTTTTCTAATTCTAATGTTTGCTATAATTTGAACAGTGATTTGGAGATATTGCAAAATGATTGGAATTTTGATTTTAGTTGGTTAGGAACCTCTCTAAGACTAAGTAAATAATGTGTATAAAGTATCATATGTAAGGTAAATTTCAGTGAATGTTAACCTTCTTTCTCTTTCTCCACTTCAGTATAAAGTAGAAAAATAAATTATTCATTGTTCAAAAAAATTTTTTAAAGAGGAAAAAACCTCTAAGGATATAAAGATAGAAAATATTTTTGTACAGCTGTATGACTTTATGTTTTAAGCTAAGTGTTATTAAAAAATAGTCAAAAAGTTAAAAAATTAAATGTATTAAAGTAAAAACTTTACGGTTGGCTAAGGTTAATTTTTTTATTGAAGAAAGCAAAATATTTTTAAATTTAGTGCAGGTTTAGTGTATACTATTTACAAATTCTACAGTAGTGTATAGTGATTTCATAGGTCTTCACATTCACTTGCCACTCACTCACTGACTCACCCAGAACAATTTCCAGTCCTGTAAGCTCCATTCATGGAAAGTGCCCTAATATAGGTGTGCCATTTTTTTTTTTTATCTTTTATACTGTGATTTTTTCCTATACCTTTTCTATATTTAGATATACAAATACCTACCATTGTGTTACACTTCTCTACAGTATTCAATACAGTAACATTCTGTACCTGTTTGTAGCCTAGGAGCAATAGGCTACACCATATAGCCTAGGTGTGTAGTAGGCTATACCGTCCAGGTTTTAGTATATTCTGTGATGTTTGCACAATGACCAAATCACCTAACAATGCATTCATTCACCTAATAATGTATCCCAATCATGAAGCAACTCATGACTGTAATAGAACACTTCTTGGATAAATAAGCAAATGTATGACATTTTATAGATTAGGACAGAGCTCGTGAATCTAGATGTATACATTTATATAATAATTATGGGTTGGGGAGAGCTAATTACATTGACCTATTTGTTCCTTTATTTTTGTCATCAGTAAGAAGCATCGTGTCACTATTGATGTTTCTTAACTGTGAACTTAGTTCTCACTGTCTCAGCTCACTGTCTCAACATACTGTGAAGTGGACTCAGTATTCTCTTTCAGTGTGAAAACCCTGCCTTTTTTCAATTTTCGAAATGTCCTGTCTCTTCAAATATTGACTGTCCCCCATTCGAAATCTTCTGTTTCTCAATTCCTTCATGTTTATTTCCTAACTTGTCTTTTATATGTCATTATTCTGTTTATCTAGTATTTTGGGTAATTTCCCTAAACAATTTAAAAATAAGCAAATCTTTTTTTCAGCTTGGTTATTTATTCTTTAATGAATTCTGTTCCTTTTTTACCCTCTATGAAAATTCTAGGATTATTTTCAAAAGTTTTTCTATTATCTCTATATTTTTTAGATTGCTTTGGCTGTTGACATCTCCTCTTATTGGCTTTTTTCTTTGTAAGGTTATGTTAAGTGGCAATGATTGTCTCATGGGAATTCTGCATATCCTGCTTTGCAGAAGCCTCCTTGTAGAGGTTATGTTTTGCCCTCCTATGTGATAAATTTTACAATTGTTAACACTTGGAGATACAGGTTTCAAGGGAATCATGAATTGATGTTCTGATCCTGTACTGGGTAAAGGCTTAAGGCTTATACTTGTTTATGTGATGTTTCTTCCATCTGAATCTCTAAGCCAATTTAAGTGCCTAGGGTTCCTGTTTCTTTAGGTGTTCGTTTGCCGTCTATACTTCTTAAGAAGCAAATTCCCTGATACGTCTCAATGTCTAGTGGAAACAAGTTTTACTGTCCCCCTCTCACAGATGGCGTGACCTTTCATGGCCCCCAGGCTTACGGGAGGAGGTCAGCTCTAGCTTTCCAAGAGGTCCCAGCTCCTTGTAAGCTAATGTGTGTACCCGATTCATGTACGTCTGGGGCCATTCAGCTTCAGTTTCTACTTGCCTTTTGCATGTTCAATTTTTTTTTTTTTTAACTGTTACTGGAAATGTCCCTTTCTTAAAATTTTAGTTAGTATTTTGGGTTATTTTTTTTCGCCATTTCTCCATGTGTGGGATAGGAGGAGAAATTATCCCATCAACCCAATGGGATTGCTTGATTATTGGATATTAGTGTAGGTTTTATTTTATTTTATTTTACTTTTGGGGAATTGCATTTTTATTGATTATTATTTCTGTAGATTTAGGGTGTAGAAGTGGTTTTATGTTACATGGATGCATGGTAAAGTGCTGAAGTCATGAATTTTAGTGTACCCTTACTCAAATAATAAGATTGTACCCAATAGGTAATTTTTGACCCCTCAGCACCCTTCTGAGTCTCCAAATCCATTATACCACTCTGTATGATCATGTGTACCCATTGTTTAGCTCCCAGTTATAAGTCAGTCGATGCAATCTTTGTTTTTCCATTCCTGAGATATTTCGCTTAGGATTATGGCTCCGTTTCATCCAAGTTGCTGTGAAAAGCATTATCACATCCCTTTTTATGGCTGAGTAGTACTCCATGATGTATATATATATCACATTTTATTTATACATTCATTAGTCGGTGAGCAGTTAGGTTGATTCTATATCTTTGCAATTGTAAATTGTGCTGTGATAAACATATGAGTGCAGGTGTCTTTTTAATATAATGACTTATTTTCCTCTGGGTAGATACCCAGTAGTGGAATTGCTGGATTGAATGGTAGGTCTACTTTTAGTTCTTTGAGGTATCTCCATACTCTTTTCCATAAACATTGTACTAATTTACATTCCCACTAACACTGTATCAGCAATCTTTTTTTTTTTTTTTTGCCACATCTATGCCAATATCTATTGTTTTTTGACTTTTTAAAAATAGCCATTCTGATGGGTAAGTTGATACCTCATTGTGGTTTTAATTTGTATTTCCCTGATGATTAGTGTTGTTGAGCATTTTTTTCTTTTGGATGGTTTTTGGCCATTTGTATATCTTCTTTTGAAAAATGTCTGTTCATGTCTATTGCCCACTTTTTAATGGGGTTATTTGCTTGTTTCTGGCCTGATATGTTTGAGTTCCTTGGTGATTCTGGATATCACTCCTTTGTGAGATAAATAGTTTGTGAATATTTTCCCATTCCGTAGGTTGTCTGTTTACTCTGTTGGTTATTTATTTTGCAGTGCAGAAACTTTTTAGTCTAATTAAGTTCCATTTATTTATCTTTATATTTGTTGTTTTTGCTTTTGGAGTTTTAGTCATAAGTTCTTTGCATAGGCCAATGTTCTGAAGAGTTTTTTGTAAGTTTTCTTATGGAACTTTTATGGTATCAGGTCTTATATTTAAGTCTTTAATCCCTCTTGAGTTAATTTTTGTGTATTGTAAGAGACAGTGATCCAGTTTCATTCTTCTATGTGTGGCTCTCCAGTTTTCCCAGTACCATTTATTAAATAGGGTAATCATTTCCCCAGTGTATTTTTTGTCTGCTTTGTCAACAGTCAGTCGGTTTTTGGTGTTTGGTTTTATTTCTGGATTCTCTAGTCTATTCAGTTGTAACTGTATGTCTATACTGGTACCATGCTATCTTGGTTGCTCTCATCTTTCACTATGATTTGAAGTTTGGTAATGTGATGCCTCCAGATTTGTTATTTTTGCTTAGGATTGCTTTGTCTATTCAGGCTCTTTTTTGATTCCATATGAATTTTAGGATTTTTTTTTTCTAATTCTGTGAAAAATGACGTTGGTATTTTCATGGGAATTGCACTGAATCTGTAAATCACTTTGGGCAATATAGACATTTTAACAATATTGGTTCTTCCAAGACATGAGCATGGAATATTTTTCTATTTGTTTGTATCATCTGTGATTTCTTTCATTAGTGTTTTGCAGTTCTCCTTGTAGAGATCTTTCATGTCCTTTGTTAAGTATATTCCTAGATGTTTCATTTATTTATTTTTTGCGGTTATTGTAAATGGTATTGAGTTGATTTGATTACCAGTTATCTGCTATTAGTGTATAGAAATGCTACTGATTTGTGTACATTAATTTTGTAACCTGAGATTTTACTGAATTTATTTATCAATTCTTGGAGTCTTTTGGAGGACTCTTTCAGGTTTTCTAGATATAAGATCATATATAATCGGCAAACAGGGATAGTTTGACCTTCTTTTTTCCAATTTGGATGTTCTTTATTTCTTTCTCTTGCCTTACTGCTTTGGCTAGGACTTTTATACTATGTTTAGTAGAAGTGGGGAAAGTAGAGATCCTTGTCTTGTTACACTGCTTAGGGGTAATGCTTTCAACCTTACCCCATTTGGTATGATGTTGGTGGTGGATTTGTCATATATGACTTTGGTTATTTTGAGGTATGTTCCTTCTATGCCTAGTATGTAAGGGTTTTTATCATGAAGGGGTACTGGATTTTATCAAATGCTTTTTCTGCATTTATTGAGATGATAATGTTTTTTGTTTTTAATTCTTTTTATGTGGTGGATCACATTGGTTTTTTGTGTATGTTCAACCATTCTTTGCAGGCCTGCATGACTCCCACTTGATTGTGATGAATTATTTTTTTATGTGCTGTTGGATTTTTTTTTTGCTTATAATTTGTTGAGGATGTTTGCATCTTTGTTTATGAGGGATATTGGTCTGTAGTTTTCTTTTTTTGTTGTGTCTAGTGTGGGTTTTGAATCACAATCTGTAGTGATTTATTTATCAATTGGGAAAACATTAGGTTGGAACATGAAGGTCAGAATCTGGCATTTAAAATCAAGCAGATATTTTGTGCTGGAAAATGAAAGAGGGAAAATAAATCTCTGTTTTCTAGTTTGTCTCCCTAGTTGAAAATTTGAAATTTAGACTCTTTATGGCCATGGTATATGAGTAATTAAGACTTTCAGTTGTTTGCATACACTAATTTAGCAATATTTTGAAATTAGTCATTAATGTTGATTATTGGTATAAAAGAATGAATGCAGGTTATAAAATGATATGATATTCATTCATTTGTTTAGAGGCACTTTTTTTAGCATATTTTTTTACTCTCATTTAGAACCAGATCAGAAAGTGGCACCCAAGCAGATACTAGCAGGTAAGTAAATTAGCAAATATTTCTTATAATAAGTGTGTGTTAAAAATCAAGATGAACAAATCGATAATTGACAATTCATTGCTATGATTGAGAAGTCACAATTGGTAAAGTATGGCACCTGAAAACAACCTGTTAGTATTTGTAACTAGTGAGTATTTGTCTAATAAGTCAATCTCTTCTTTCCTTTCCTACTTTGGAGCCAGGAGTTAGTATCAGCAAACTAAAAAGAGTTGATTTCTGTTATCATATTCTCTTTTGTTATTGTGACCAAGGGAGTTATCATAAAGTGCTCAAACACAGCAAGTCTCAGTTCCTTTTTCCTCACCTTGGGACATATGTCTAATTATACTCTGTCATCTCAGATGATAAAGGCCATGTTTATCTTGCTCAACATTGTATAGCCAGCATGTAGCAGAATGCATCGCTTAGAATAAGTGATAAATGAATATTTGTTGAATGAATAAATAATTACCTTTCATCTTCATGTACACACAGTCAAACAAAAACACAGATGTAAAGGTACATAGACAAATCTGAACGTGTGTGAGTGCATGCATGCATACACACGCATCTGTGTATCTGAAGTTGTAACTTCCCCTACTTCTTCCTCTTTCATCATATCATCCCTCATCCTGAAACCCTGTTAACATAATTAATCTCTCTCCTAGGATTTTCTTTACCTACATTGTGTGAAGGATGACAGCATCACCCATAGGAAAATGAATGTACATTTCAATTGGAATAGTTGAATTTGGAATGTTATTCTCTTGGTCTAGCCTCTGGCTTAGTGTGCACCATAGAAACATTTTTAGAATAATTATTCCTTTAAATTTTAACAATATGACTTGATATTGTTGCTGTGCTTTAGGATCTAACATCCACAGTAGTTTTGGGGTCATCTCTCTTTGGAGTAGTTTTTAACTGGTGGAAAGTCAGTGGGAAATGCTGTTGAAGCCAAAAGCAGGCAGAGAGGCAGAATGAATCCCAGCATGGGTTATATTAGTACTGCTTTAGTATAATTAATTTTAAATGTCTAAATGCTATCAATATTTCCAGTCTTTTCCTAAACAAGGATCTTAGGCCACTTAATAGCAAATTCTAAATACTAATCTCCTATATTATTGTCATTTGGCTTTTAGCTTCTTCCAGGTTTTTACTGACAGGACCATACCTTTCATTAGTCACTGTATTATTATCATTTTTTCATTAAACGAATACTCACTAGTATTCAAAAACATTTACATGATTGCTTTGCTCACTCTTCATTCTTGAATCCATTTATTTTTCATTATGGGTTCGATATCCTTTTTTCTGATGTACAGCCCTTCTAGTTTCAGTTAGTGTCCATGTGTTAAAAGCCTGAGCATGCTTTTTTCCACACCCACTTTTGAATAATAGATTAAATGGTTATAGACTCCTAGTTGACAGTCACTTTTCTGAAACTCTTTTAAAATATTCTGTTGTTGTAATGTCAATTTACTATCATTGATGAGACCTCAGTTGTCAGTCTTATTAACCTATTTATTGTCTCCCAATTAATGTGTGTTTTTTTCTAAGTGGCTTCTAAAGTTTCTTTTTTGTCCTGAATATTTTATTTTCCTATTATATGTTCCAATATAATTTGTTTTTATTTACCCAGCTCTAGATTTAATGTAGCTTGTGATATGAGGACTCAGGTCATTAATTCTTAAAAAAACGTTCAGTCATTATCTCTTCAATTATTGACTCTTCCAATTCTTTCTCTTCTCTCTATTGGAAATGTCTATATTTAGGAGAGTCTTCACATTTTAGCCTCAATATTTCTTAACTGGGCTGTTCATATACTATGGTTTTTCACCTCTCTGGCATTATTTGATTTCCTCCTATCAGTTTCCAAATTATCCATCCACTTAACAGCTATCATTTTCTTGCCTTATTCCTGCCTTGATCTCTGTGGAGATCCCAGACATTCTATTTTAAAGGCTTTTATATTATCTGTTGTTGATCTTGATGTGTGTATTTTTTAAAATTTTACTGTGGCTGTAGACATTAACATACAGTAGTTTGTAATTTTAGATTTGCAAGCTCATCCTCAGAGGCAATGGTTGTTCTCATGAGAATGCTGCCTGCCCTGAGTTGTAGAGGCGCATACTGGGGGGAGGAGGGTGTTTCAGGTTTGTCTCCCTGGAATATTAATGTTGTAATATTTCTATACTCGCTGGCGTTCAGACTTGCGGGTAGTGGACTTGAGCAGTTAAGCCCTGCCATGCGAACGGTACAGGCCTGGGGCTCCTGCACCTCTAGGGATCCTTTTCCGTTCCCCATGGCTGAGACAATTGCCTGTTGCATTTTCAAGTCCGTTGATTATACCTTTTATTATCTCCACTCATGACTACACAGACAACAAAAGCTTCATTCCAGCTTTCCAACACATAAGAGATCCTACACCACTTCCAAGTTAGGGTTATGAAAACCGCATCTTTAGGCATGATTAATTCAGCTTTAGCTCCTACTTTCCCTCTAAACTTCATAATTACTTATTCATTTATTTTTTTTACTGATAGAAAAAGCCTTTTCTGGCTGTCGATCTCAGTTATCTATTACATTTTGTTGCTATTCGCATTTTTGTCTTTGTGGAATAGAAAGGGAAGCTGTAATTTACAAAATGTGTAATTTATGTATCACAAATAAAAACTTAACTTGGAGCCTGAATGACAGATTTAGAAATTTAGGGTCAAATTTATATTCAGTGATTAAAAATCAGGAGAAAAAATTCTCTGTTATCTTGATTCCCATTGGAGAATTTAAATTTTGTACTATATGTCCACTTGTTTTGGGTAAATAAGAATGCTATTTATTTGCATGCCCTAAGTGTTTAAAGAGTTAGTTTTCATATAAAATTGTCTGCTTTTAATTCTCAAAGTACGCAAGTTTCTTAATATTAGCTTTCAGACATTATTTTTATTTCTCTTAGATCCAAGTCAGAAGGTAGTGCCAAGGAAATACCAACAGGTAAACAATATGAAGTATTATCCATAAATAAATATCATTATTCTAAATAAAACGTTCAGTCATTATCTCTTCAATTATTGACTCTTCCAATTCTTTCTCTTTTCTCTATTGGAAATGTCTATATTTAGGAGAGTCTTCACAAGACTCTCCTAAATAAGAATGAAAAATAAGAATGAAAAAGTTGATAATTCACAGCTAATTGCTCAGTAGTTTTTGAGCAGCCACACCTGATAAAGTCTGCACCAAAACTAATATATTAATATTCCCTATTCCAGGAATAAGTGTTAAACTCAATCTTTTTTTTTTCTTTCAGTTGACTAATTTTTTTTTGATTGCATACTCTTGTGGTACATAGGAAAAAAACTAGTGAAATTTAATAAGAAACAAGATACTTATAATCAGTTTGTAAAACTAATTCATAAGCTGAGCATTTTTGCATCCTTTATGCTGGGATACATAAAGAGAAATATCACTTCTTTCTTTGGATTTTATTTACACCCCAAAATTCAATATGAACAACTGAGTGTATTCAGGAGGAGTTTATTTAAGAGGCAGTATCATAAATACACTAAAATCCTACAGTTCTGATAGGCCTTCAACATCCCACAATTGTGTCAACCAGGGTTCTCTGAATTTTTTTTAAGTTTTTAGTTTCCCGTGCTTCACAGCTGTGGCTTTGTGACTCTTATGAAACTATCAAATATTTACTCGTCTGTTCATCGTTCTTTCTCCCTTGTAGAGTTTTCATTTTCTTCTGCCGTCTAGTATTTTTCCTTAAAGTGACCTCTTTTAGTTACGTTCAACCCACTGCTATTGCAGAGTATCCTTTATACCTACAAGTAAAGTTTTGTAGGCTACACCACAACACCACAACATTGCATAGTTTTTGTCTTCCCTGATGAAGTCACTCCTTTCATTAGGAAAGCTATAATATTTCTGTATCTAGTATTCTCTCTTCTGGATGTCTCCTAACATAGTCACTCTTTTGGAGACATTAGTTACTTTCTCTAAGCTAAGTATGAGGGGAAAAAAGCTGATTTTCTTTGTTGTCCCCACTCTGTCACTGTCACCAAGGGAGTTGAGATAGAGTGCTAAACACTGCAGTTCTCCCAACCCTTTGCCCGCCTAGAAGCATTACCCTCCCTTTGTACTCTGAAATCACTTGAGGGTAATGAACATGTTTATCTTGCTGACCTATTTATAGTCAGCACCTAGCAGAGTAAATGCTCCATAAATACTCATTTAATGAATGAGTGATTACTCTTGAACTTCACATATGCACAGCTAATTAGTATTGTAACGACTCCAGTTGTCCCCTCACATTGTCTCTCCTCAAAGAATATGCCACTCACATAAGCATCCTCTTCTAGAAGTGGTGTTCAGCTAGATTGAAGGATAGACAGGGCATCACCCAGAGGACAGTGTACATTGCATTTGAAGACTATAATTTTCAGTGTTAATCCCTAAGTCTAGCCTTGTGTTTGGCGTACACCAGAAAGGCATTCTTTGATTATTCTTTCATTTAAATTTAATAGGCTAAGCAGACATACTTTATGTGCCTTACTATTATAATACTTAGTGTATTTTCTTGTACTTCTGTTCTTTTTACATTATTATTGTCATTGTTATTTTTCTATTGGAAAGCCAGTGGAGGATCTTGGTAGAGCCAACTCCTTGGGTAAACAGAACAAGAATTTTTTTTTTAAATGCCAAAAATCTTATGTGTATATATATGTCAGTAGACTCACTAGTCCATATATATAAATCCCTTTATTGGCTTTGAGGAGAATGAACTGTATTTAAATAGGAATTGTTCATGGCCAGAATAATAGGAAAAATCAACTATAAGTTTTGAAGGTATAAAATAGAAGAGGTAGGGAAAGGATGGGGGGTGTAAAATGATGCCACTGTTATCACTGAGTTCTCTCACTAATCTTACTAACTATAGTATCTTATCTGTGAATTAATCCTGATTAATTTGTCTTCAATTCATTCTTTTCTCTCCCATTCTTTTAGTTGGGGGATAAGGAATCTGTGGCTATAGAGAACACAAAAGATGCCCAAGAATTTTGATTTTGAATTTGGTAAAAATTAGTATAAAAATAGAAATTTGGCAAATATTTCTAACACAACTTTGAAAGGAAAGTGGAAAAAAATTCTGTAAAAATAAACATGACATAACTTTGAAAGATTGAATCATATCAACCTAAAAACGTTATTTCCTTATATATTTAGATCCAAATCACAGGAAAGCAAATAGCAGTGCCCAAACACATAGCAGTAGGTAAGTATATCAGGAGGTGTTTCTTAAAATAAATATATGTTTGAAATTAAATGAAATTGATAATCTACAGTTAATTCCTAAGTATTTATTGGGTAAATGAATTGGTAAAATACTACACCAGTTAATAACCTACCAATCTTTATAACCTTATTATTAATGAATATTTAAATTACTTCATCTATTTTTTCTTCAGTTTAGTAAAGTTCCCTTAAATTTGTTGAGAACTTACTACTGTTGATAGAATGGAATGAAAGAGTTACAGCCAATAAGATATAATATCTGTAAATTAGTTTATTAAACAAATTCATAATCAGGGCCATTTTATCCATTAGGCACAATGCTTGAATGCTATGAGTTTTTAAGAGCCCCACAAAACGGTTTATAGCATGAAAAACCAAAAATAATTGACTGCAATGTATGGAAAAAAGTAAAATTAATATGGTGTTCAATTTCTAAGAAATAGTAAAAATATTAATTGTTATATTCATAAACATTTCATTAAATTTGAAAAATGTTAAATTTTCTCATTTGCAAGTACTTCTGATTAAATATTTTGGTTCCTTAGAAATCGCAGAGAATCATGAAGTATATAAGTTACTCATGGCCAAATAATTTCATAAGCAAACTTTACCATTCTTTCAAGAATTCTTTTTTCTGCCAAATGAATTTTACACATGGCAGTACCCCAACTATCTGTATGCATTGCAGTGGAAGAGAATTTGCTACCAGACCTTGAGCGTGTGTGCTTTTGTTTTCTTCCGCAGTAACTAGTAATACCCTCGGAAGGCAATGGGCACTGAGAAATGAAAGTTCTGCTTTTGCTCCTGTGGTCACAGCTGAAGGAAACAATAAACCAAGTGAAGACCAGTTTATGTGCCTGTGTGTCTGTTTTTATCTCTCCCTCCTCTCCCTCGGAATGCAGCCCCTAGGGCTGCGGTTCTGCCACTTCAAGGCCCTTAACAGAAAGCATCCAAACTCAGGAATCTCCATCCCCACTTGATTCCCTGAGCTCTTCCCACTCTTGCTTTGCCCCTAACAACACCCCCTTTTGGTTGACTGCTTGGGGCCCCAGATGCATCAGGTCCTTGCTCAGCCTCATTTAGGACCAGCTGTGGCCAGTGGGCCATGTTCCTCCTCCTGCTCCTGCTCAACAGGCTTGGCTGGCTGCTATTGCTTTTCTCTGTTGCATTAGTTTTCTCTATTCCACTGGTTGCACTTTTTATTAATTTGCTCTTTTCCTAGCATCTTGACATGAAAATTTAGATCACTGATTTTACATTTTCTTTTCTAAAGCACCTGACAGGGCTCTAATGAACTCAATCAGGAATGAAAAAGGAGGAATTACAGCTGACATAATGGAAATATAAAATCTCATCTCTGTATACTATAAAAATCTCTAGGCACATAAACTTGAAAACATGGAGGAAATGGACAAATTCTTAAAATTACACAGTTCCCTTGGCTCAATTAGGAAGAAGTAGAATTCCTGAAGAGACCAATATCAAGTACTGACATTGAGGCAGAAATAAAACCTTTCTAAAAAAAATGTCCTGGACAAGATGGTTTCACAACCAAATTTATCAGACCTACAAAGAACTGGTACCTATCCCTGCAGAAATTATTCCACAACATCGAGAAGGAAGATTCCTATCCAACACATTTTATGAAGCCAACATCACCCTGATACCAAAGCCATGAAATGACTCAACAGAAAAAGAAAGCTACAGATCAATATCCCTTATGAATATATATGCAAAAATTTTCAATAAAATCCTAGTATATTTAATTGAGCTTCTCATAAAACAAACAAATTATCCATCATGACCAAGTGGGCTTCATCCCAGAGATGGAGTGATGGTTCAACATATGCAAATCCATGAATGTAACTCACCACATAAACAGAAGTAAAAACAAAGACCGTATGAACCTTTCAATAGATGCATAAAAAGCATCTGACAAAATTCAATGCCCTTTTATGATAAGAACTCTTAATAAAATAGGCTTAGAAGGGAATTATCTCAAAATGATAAAAGCCATATATGACAAACCTACAGCTAACATCATACTGAATGGGGAAAAATTGAAAGCATTCCTTCTTAGAACTGGAACCAAAGTTGCCCACTATCAACACTTCTATTCAACGTAGTGCTAGAAGTCCTAGCCAGAGCAATCAGACGAAAGAAATCAAGGATATACAAATGGTGGCAGAAGAGGTCAAACTGTCATTCTTTGCTTGCGATATGATCTCATATCTAGAAAACCCCAAAGATTTTGCCAAGAGACTACTGGAAATAAGTAAGTTCAGGAAAGTCTCAGGTTACAAAGCCAATGTACACAATTCAGTAGCATTCATATATGCCGACAACAGTCAAACTGAGTACCAAATTAAAGACTCAATACTTTTCACAATAGCAACAAAGAAAATAAAATACCTAGGACTATATTTAACTAAAGATGTGAAAGACCTCTATAGGGAGAACTATGAAACACTGAGGGAGGAAATAGCACCAGATATAAACAGTTGAAAACCATACCATGCTTGTGGATGGGCAGAATCAACATTGACAAAATGTCTATACTACCCAAAGTGATGTACAGATTCAATGCAATCACTATTAAAATCATCATTTTTCAACCATCTAGAAAAAATAATTCTATGTTCTGTATGGAACCAGAGAATACCCCATAAAGCTACAGCAACCTTATGCAAAAAGAATAAATGGGAGGGATAAATTTACCAGACTTCAAGCTACACTACAAGGCTATCATAAACAAAACAGCATGGTACGTGGCACAAGAATAGAGATATAGACAAATGAAAAAGAGCAGAGAACCCAGATATGAAACCATCCTCATATAGCCATCTGATCTTTGAAAAAACATATAAACATACACTGGGGAAAAGAATCCCTATGTAATAAATGGTTCTGGGACAATTGAATAGTCACATTTAGAAGACTGAAACAGGGTACACACTCTCACCTCTCATAAAAATCAACTCTAGTGGGATTTACAAAAACACATAATGTACTGTGGCAGACTGCCTCTAAAATGGCTTTGTATTTCTAGTTACAGAAAATGTCAAGGAAACACATTCTGTTTTACTCATTCTCCTAGTCATAAAAAGTCTGGGGAGAATATATTTCAACTATCAGAAGGCTCTGAAAGGTGAAGAAAGGAAAGTAGAGACTTTCTTCTTCTTGGTTAGAGACTATGGGATTGAGCGAAAAATAAGTTCCCTGTGGCTTTTTGCCTTCTTCCTATATATCTTGGTTTGAGCAATTAAAAAACTGACAACTTGGAAATACCAATGGGCACATACTAAAAATAGCTCCAACAAAAGCTTGCTCTTTCTATACAAAGGACAAAGAAAGTAGCAGCCCAGCAGGTCATAAATGTTGTAACCATGACTGTCTTTTTAAAAGATAAATACCACATGGCAAAAGAAGCACATCTCCACCATACCAAGTATTGCAGCACTAGACCCAGGGGGTGAGATCTTATTTCAACTCTCGTGATAGTCAAGGAAATGCCCCTCCTTTTACAGAGCCTGTGCGTGAAACTCTGATTTCTATCTCCATGTTTCTCCAGTAACAAGGCGATCCCTTTGTTAAGTCCGTGGGTGAAACACTAGCCTCCGTACAAAGGCTCTGATAATGAACTGAACCTCTTAGCTTTTACAGTTAATGCTGCAAAGATGGTGGACAGGAGACCTGCCATTTAAGTAGCACATGAATGGAGCAGTTATGGCTAACAGTTTTTATAAACTAAATTGACGTTTGACCACAGCCAACAAAAGTGAGCCAGGACATATCATCCAAATATAAACATGTTAACTACTTGCTAAAACAAAAGGTAAAAATAGGAACCAGAGTCTTAAAACACAGATTCAAGATGTCCAAAACATGGTCCAAAATTATGTTATACCAAGATCCACGAAAATTCCAACTTGAATGAGAAAAAGACAATCAACATTAAATCTGAAAAGACAATAGCTATTGAAATTTTCAGAAAAGGATATTTAGCAACTATTATAAAAATTCTTCAGCAAGTGATTAAAAACACTCTTGAAACACACAAATACAAGAATAGGGGACAAGATGACTGACTAGAGACACTGGTTGCCAGATTGTCTCAGAAAGAAGAAAAAGTTTTAGATGAAAAAAAAAAAAACATAGCTCAGATGTAATTCTCAGGGAAAAGTGCCAGAACCCACCAGAGATTCCATGGGAAGAAGTTGCAAAGCAAAACGAGAAGAAGCAAGATATTGGCAGAGATCAACCCCTGAGAAACTTGTGTTGCAGTGGAAAGGGTAGGTGGGCCTTTTGTTGCTCCTTCCCTCACACCTCTGGCAGTCAGCAGGCTCCTGAGCTGCTTGAGAGCTTTTCTACCCTCACAAGCCCCAAAGCTGCTGCTACTGGTGAACTGGGAGTTTCCTGCAAACAAAGCCCTGGGCTGTCAGCCTTCTCAGGGTTGCTCCCCGTAACCACACACGCGAGCCGAAATGGCAGGTGCCATACTGCTTCTCCTCCAACTGTGTGCCTTTGTCCCCACCCAGGGAGCTTCAGCCCTTCACTTTTCATATCACTGGTCCCCACACAAACATTTTCCAACTCCTTCCCAAACTGCAGTGGCCACAAGGGGGCTGTGGTGGGGGGAAGGGTGGTGGAAGGGGAACTGTGTGACCCCAGAGCTTGGACATTCCAGGTGGGCTGACTTCTGGGGAGAGGGACAAAGGAGACCATAGTTCCAGTTCTCCTCCATTCAGACTCTTTTCTTGCCCTTCCCCTCCCACTCCCACTACTGCTGCTGAGTAACATGAATGCCCCAAGGGACAACTGAGCCAAGACTCTGAGGAGTGGCTGCTTCCCCTGTGTTGGCATGTCCACTACACCAAGGCTCCCACAGAGAGTGGGGTCTCCTATCTCTCAAAGACCTGCAGCAGACCAAGGGGTGCTCAGACTGTAAGTTCCCTGTCTGCTTGCCCTCCCTGATGCTGCTTGCTTGGCTTACCTGCCCAGCAGAGCAGGGCATACTCCAAAGTGAAGGGACATTAAGTCTGCTTGAGTGTGCCTTAGGCATCTCAGTACCACCATGCTTCTCCCTGGCATGATCAGGGATTAAACTTGGGGGATCAGGGGACAGGCCTCCGGGCTGGATCCTTTACCTCTAGGACTCAATTGTGTTGCTCAGTAGCACAAAGAGAAAGCTTGTGAACTAATCTTGGGCGGAACTGAGAGAAGAGGGCAGTGTGTGTCTGAGTGGCAGGGCAGTCACAAAGCACCCCTTTGCCCACAGGAAAGCCATGCTTTTAGTCTGAGGCAGGATCTTGGGCAGAGAAGCTCCTACCCTGTGGTACCATTGCTAGTGAGCTCAGCTAGTTTGGGTTGTTGCTTGCAGCAAGACATCAGAAGGAGATCCTCTCAGCAAGGGGAGAGGGAGAAGAGTAAAACTCACTCCCAACAGCCAGACTGTGAATCCCATACTTCCCTTCCTACATGAGTAGACTTTCTGTCTTTGTGGAGCTTCAGCCCCTCCCTGGTGGCTTTCCCCGGTGGCCTAGGAGCTGATTCTTGACCCCTGCCAAGACAGCTCTCGAGCCTACCTTTGTGGAAACTGAAGGCAGGCTCACCCAACCCAGCCCCACCCAGTCTTACTCCTCTTATTCCTCACTTGCATCTGCTGTGGTGGAGAGTAAGGACTCCCCAGGGAGCTCAGGGGCCCTGCCTACCACCTGGGCCATTCAAACACTTCTCCTGAGGGTCTAGAGCCCATCACAGGTTCCCAAAAACACCACTGCAGCTGGTTCTTTCCTGCAAGCTCCACCTACTGGCAGGGAGGACAGCTTGTACAGTCCATTACAGCATTTA